TCCAAAGAGAAAGGAAAACTTGAAATCGCATCATATGACCCCTTTAAAGTTTTGGATACATGATACATTTTTTAAAGATTCTTTAATTAATAGAAAGTTCAGCAGTACAGTGTTTATTTAAAATATAAATAATTTGTAACATGATAAATTACTGTTACTTTTATGCATTTTAATCGGTCCACGGTGAATAAAAGTATTAAAGGGGTCATATGATGCGATTTCAATTTTTCCTTTCTCTTTGGAGTGTTACAAGCTCTTGGTGCATAAAGAAGATCTGTAAAGTTGCAAAGACTAAAGTCTCAAATCCAAAGAGATATTCTTTATAAAAGTTAAGAGTCAACCACGCCTACCTAAAACGGCTCATTCTAACACACCCCCACATGTCTACGTCACGATTTGGGATTATTTGCATAACACCGCATAAATGTGCACGCAAAAAAAGAAGGCGTAACTTTAATTCTTGCTGTAGTATTGTTGCCGCCGCTGCCATGTTGTGGAGTCGCTGTGCGTTTCATTGTGAAAGTGAAACTACTTTGTTGGGTCTTCCAAAAGAGGACACAACTAGAAATCAGTGGTTAAGTTGTATTTACAACACTGTTCCAGAACAGTTTAACCCAAATATTCAGATGTGCGCTGTGCATTTTATGGAGGATGAGGACTGTTTCCTGAATCAGTAGCCTAATGCGTCTGTGGCACAAAGGCTGTTTCTATTAAGTTGGGCAGTTCCAACTTTGCAAGGACAGTCTGTCGCTTCTGACTCACAGACTGTAAGTAAATTTTTTATATTTAAATAATTTGCCACTGATGATTTGTGAGTTTTGAGCAGGCTTGTTGTTTCTCCGATCACAAATGCAGACGTGGTTTTATGTTTATGCAGCGCGATATGCAACTCAACACGTTAAAAGACCGTATAAGTCATTATAATCAGTAATTATGTCCCCACTTGATGCAACAAATGCCTCATTTGTAATGGGTTTTATTGGTTTTGTCTCGTCCTGCTGGGAGACGGCATCGCAGTATGTTAAGGGGCTTAATATTTCCGTCACACGCTTGAGGCATTCGTCCAATCACAACGTACTGAATAGCTGGCCAATCAGCGTATACCTCGCTTTTTTAGAAGGATGAGCTTTGTAAGAATTGACACGTTTCAGAAAGGCGGGGCATAGAGGAGCAACAATAATGTACACTATATGGAAAAGAATGTGTTTTTTTAACCTTAAACCGCATAAACACATTGCATTACACCAAATACACCAAATAATGTTCCTTTTTTAGCAATGTCATATGACCCCTTTAATTTCTTTGAATTCGATTTTATGTGACATGCTTAAGGTACCTCTATACCCTTTATATGGCTTTCATTCATTTCTCATAGAGTTTGTAATCTAAATATTTGAATGCTTTGCCTTGATTCCTTCATACAGAGCTATAGATGTTAATTCTATCATACAAATTTCATGTTCTTTGCATTATATATGTATCATTGTAAAGTCTGTTTTGGATTTTTTTATTTAAAGGTATAAATTGTGTTTTGTAATATGTAGTTCCCAAGTTTGCCAAAGCATTTCAAAACAGATTTCCTGTGAATATGAGACAATACTATGTGTCACTGACAATTTAAAACTTGTACAGTATTGTGTGTTTTAGATATGTTCGTATAATGTTCCGTTCCATTGAACAACATGATTGAGCAAGATTGTCCTGTGTTTATAAGAAAGCGGGATTCTTTGGAAGCTGTGGGCTTGTGTAATGTGGTTTCAAGTTAAGTGTGTCAGGTTGGTTTCAGCCAGATGGTAATGGTTGTTTTGAAAGAGGCTTATTAAGCTTGAGAAGTCAGAAGATGTGGTGCGTTTATGTGCTTTTGTGTAGTAACCGATGAATCAGTTTGGTCAGACAAACCGTATGGTCTGTGTGTGCTGGGAGGGAAATACAGAGGCCACTTTATTTGTGTGTGTGTGGGGGAATGTACACGTGTGATTAATGGCCTCATGTCTGCATAAAGATTTATACTATCTGTGTGTGGTGAGAGAACAAAAGATGCTCTGTGAGATCTTGAGTCTGTATAAACAGACCTGCTTTCAGCTTGAAGATGCTCTCCTCCCACTCTAAAGGGGTTCATATGTGTTCTCAAACAGCACGTCCACAGCAGGTGCTCATACAGAATGTAACTAAACCTTTACTTTGTAGTAACTTTGTAGAAACGCACATAATAGCTGTAAGTATTTTGACTATAGTTAAACTATCAGTTTTTGGTGTTAACTTTAAAAATAGTAGAGGCACTACTTTATTACATATAGTAGAGGCATTATTTATAGTCCACTGCAACTGGAATAGAAAAATTATACACTTTACTATATTTATACCAGACTTCACCTTATCTGCTTTCTAAAATTCGTGTTAAAATCTCATTTGTGAATGATGTATCCAAATGATCGACCTCTCTCTGGTGATGTATGGAGGACTTCTCCAGTAATTTATTTTGCCTAAAGCAGGACTACAGGCAAAACCATTGCTTGTTTTTTATCTATTCATACACTGGTCAATTTCTTTGATTGATTGATCAGTTTTAGTGTTTAGATGCATATTTAAGTGTTTATCACATTTGATCTAAAATTAATTTGTTTCTCCTGCACTGAGATGGAAATGTACTCTTCAGTAACACTTACCAGAATTTTTCCAGTTTTATTCATATTCCATATTCTGAAGGGTTTTACAGAGGGGTTTGTTCACGTATCATTTGCCTGATTTATACAGGATTTTCTTCCTAAAACATGGTGAAAATGTATTTCCCCACAATGTAGTTTTTTTTCTGCTAATCCGTTACTCTTGAATGTACTTTCAAATATGGAAGAAAAGATCTGTCACTACTTCCATTCCATGTTTGCTTAGGAAAATGCTAAACCAAGAATAATCTATGAGGCAATAGTTTTCCTCCCTGTCTGGTTTAAAATAATTAATTCCAAAGTGCTTCAGTTGTTCTTGTTTGTTTAGATTTAAACAGAACATAGAGTTGGACTGGTGACCCAAAGATTGTTGGTTCAAACCCCAGAAGGGGCAAACCAGGACCTTTTACCATTGTGTGTTTGCGTGTTAACTTCTAAGGGACTAAACCTGCTGTAAATGTGCTGTAAAAAGCCTGACTGTGGTGTTTTGGTTGTGTTTTATTCAGCTAAGCGACAGATAAACCATCTTGGTCATCAGCTTCAAATGACTCGGCACTGTCTGGACACTGCCTTCAACTTTTACAAGATGGCCCTCTCCAAACATCTGACCAGAGGGCGCAAATCATCCCATGTCATCGCCGCTTGCCTCTACCTCGTCTGCCGAACGGAGGGAACACCTCGTATCCTTTTGGCCATTTACAGAGAAAAGAAAGTGTCTGTTATTGAGGGTGAATGGTGATATATGAGATTACATATTTAAATAATGTGATGCCTCAGAGTTTGTGTGAATCTGATTTTGCTCTGGGTCAGGGTGCAAGTTTATGATGGGAAAGTGTTTGCAACAGTCTAAAGCTGTTCCCAATCCCACCATAAGTTTACGTCACAGGCTACGTAAACAACTTTATTTTGATGTTTCCACAACCTGTTATCCTTCTGTCAGGCTTTGAGCATTTGGCCAGTGGGATTTAAGATGGCACTTCTATGTTTTGTCTGGTAGTTTCTAAGATATTATGGCTAAGTTCGCAATAACATACTAAAGTGGGCCATTTCAATTGGAATCAGTGAGGTTAGCAATTTTGTGTGAGGTGAAGTTTTTCACCAAACAGATTTTGCAGTGCGTTTAAGTTGGTCACACCACTTTTTGAATATTTTCTTTATTTTTATTGAAAAAAATGCCTTTCTGATCTGATATGTGATGGGAAAAGGGAGAAGAAGGGGAGTAGAACGAGTTCAGCGAAAGGCGGATTCAAACTCGGGTCGATTGCATCAGAAGTTCCTCTATATTCCTCTACACAACTGTTGTTTTTAAATATGTGTCTTTTGTATTTGTGTATTGCAACTAGACTTTGGTGGATGCAGTTACTCTAAATAGCCTGTGCCAACAAGGTGGGCTATGTGCACTTAGTGTAAATAGACACTCCATATTTGAAACTGTTTTTGTTAGCGATATAGAGCAAATCAGAAATACTGTTCTTTAATGTAAGTCACGTAGTATTAACTTTTTGATTTTGAATTGCAAAAAATCTGTATCATATTTGCAATTGTGCTAATATTTAGGCAAACAGTACTCTTCTTCCTAGACTGATTTTGCTTAACCATACCAGATGTTATAAATATAGAAAACAAGAACTCATATAGACAATATAACTGTATACAAATATAACTTTTATTTGGATATAACTGTAATTTGATTACCACCCATTTAAAATGTAACTATAACGAAATAGTTACTCATATTTTGTACTTTAAATACATAACAACGTTACATGTATTTCATTACTCCCTAACCCTGGTAGTATGCTAGCATTGTTCTGCATGGTTTGTACTCTATAATCGTCATTAATCATCTTTTTTTAGTGGAGTTCACACCTCCTAATTTACATAATTGTGATACTAACTTGAGAAGATATATATATAAGAAGAGACTGCAAAATAGAATAAGAAGAGTTAATGTGACACTGAAAGAAAGAAGACAAAGTGGTACAGAAGAAGAGAGGTTGAGCAAGAGGAGTCTTCTGTGGGAGCTGATAGTCAGTGGTGGTGTTAGTCAGTCATCTTGATTTGGTCTCCTCACGTACGTCTGTCTACATTTTACACTGCACACAAACACTCACAGCGTCTGATGCTCAGTCATATAGCCTTGGTTCTCCTGTGTGTGAACACTCATGATTATTTTTGTAATAATCATCCTACACGCTCACACTGACTCACTGAGTCAGAGTCTAGCACAGGTTGTTATCTTTAGTGTGTATGTGTATAAAACAATCAGCTTCCTGTTTAGCCTACACTGCAGAAAGACCTCATCTGGTGTCCGAGACGGGATCTCGCTTGTATTAGAGTTGGGTGCGTTCAAAGTGAGGCAGGAAATAAGGCAGGGTGTGTCTCTCAGGAGACTGCATTAGGCCTGCATTACACACACACAGACAAAAAAACAACAACTGGAACACCCTGCTTTAGTTTATTATAGTTTGATTTGGTTTTAATAATCTTGTTGGGGTCGAAAGCGAGGCCTGGCAGTTAGTTCACATCCTCCGGCATTTTGCCTTAAGCGTCGCAAGTTCAAATCCAAATCATGACATTTCCTGATCAATTTCTCCCCATTAAAACAAGCAAATAGATCTAAATAAATGTTTTATGGATTCATTTTACTTTTAATGTAAAGTTGGTATGAATTTGTTGTCTTTCTAATGGTAACCAACTCAAAACGCTTAGTCCACCAGCATGAGGTGCACTCGATAACGTTCACATGTTTACAGACGGATGGATGTTTAATTGTACCAGTTTATTCTGTTATATATACTCTACATGTGAAAATGCTTGATTACGAGGTGATTTTATTCAGCTTTCATCTGCCTTCTACGTACAGTCTAAAAATGACACTCAAATATGTGTGCATTTGGATTTTCATGGATGATGCTTCTCACTTTCGCTTGTCCAAAAAATGCATAAATAGAGGCAACAGAATCTGACAGCATGTATCTTTTCCGTCTCTCTGAGATTACGTAATGTACGTGTTCAGTCAGATGTTTGGTAGGATTACATTTACATTTAGTCATTTAGCAGACGCTTTTATCCAAAGTGACTTACAATTGGGGGATACATAAAGCGATTCTTCTTAAAGAGGCAAACAGATACAGGAAGTGCTTGTAATACCAAGTTTTTAGACATTGTTCAAATAAGTACAAGCTAGAAAGAGAATGAATAAATAAAGGAACTTTTTTTTTTTTTTATGATGATGATGATGAAGTCAAGTAGCTTCGAAAGAGATGAGTTTTCAGCTGTCGCTTGAAAATTGTCAGGGATTCAGCATTCCGGATAGGGGTGGGAAGATCGTTCCACCAGCCAGGAATGGTGAACGAGAATGTTCTGGAAAGTGGTTTTGAGCTTCTCAGTGATGGTACCACGAGGCATCGCTCACTAGCGGATCTCAGACTTCTGAAGGGGATGTAGATTCATAGTAGTGAGTGGAAGTAGGCGGGTGCGGAGTCTGTGGCTGTTCTATATGCAAGCATCAATGTCTTGAACTTGATTCGAGCCGCAACCGGTAGCCAGTGCAAGGAGATAAAGAGAGGTGTAACATGGGCTCTTTTGGGCTCGTTGAAGACCAGTCGTGCCGCTGCATTCTGAATCATTTGTAGAGGTTTGATGGAAGTCCAGCCAAAAGAGCTTTGCAGTAGTCCAGCCTAGAAATGACAAGGGCCTGGACAAGAAGTTGTGCAGCATGCTCTGTTAGAAAGGGTCTGATCATAAGAACTCATGAGAGAACTTTCACTTTCTGCCCAGGAGGGTAAGGGGTGTGTGTATGTGTGTGACAAGAGAGAGAGAAGTATTGTTGGTCTCAGTCTCCACTGGAAAAGGTAAATTTAGCCAAACATTTAGAATTATTTTCCAAATGTCAGCCTCTGAAATAGTTTCTTGCTCTCAGATTAGCTGTAAAACACCAATCCGGCTGAGTTTGTGGATTATTGTAGCTGTTTGCCCATTTTATTCTTGACAAATTTTTTATACTTATTTTTTATGTGATTTTAAATTATTTTACAGTATCTGTAATTCTATGTTGACACCTAAACATGGTCAATTCTGTAAAATGTTATCTGTAAAGTGATTAGAGAAAACATGAATGGCCTTTAGCTAATATTGCCACATGTGAGATTTATCCCTGGAAAGGTCAAATCCTAAAAAATAACCATGGTGTCTGAAAATCCCACAATGATGTTTTTTAATGTTTTAATACACGTTGTCTTGATTGGACAGGTGTGCTGGTCTCCATGGACACAGAGTACTTGGTTGCTGGGAGACGGGTAATTCCAGGGTTTATGGGGTGGTGGCTCACTTGAGTTTTGCTCAAAGAGGGAAAGAGACCAAATCTGACCAAAATCCTTTCGTTTCTTGAGGTTTTTATGTGTGTGTATGTATATGTATATGTATGATTATATGTATGATTTCTTTAATGCACTTCCTCAGACATGCTGCTGGACTTGAGTGACCTCCTGCAAGTAAGTCCAGCATTTATATATATATATATATATATACACACACACACATTTTAATTTTAAACCTAGAAGTTTTATAATTTGTAATATTTTCAAAATAAATCAAATGACAAAGACATTTTTAAGGTTATGCATTGTTTTAGGTAAAAATCAATCAATCAAAATAAAGCACTTTAAAACAACCAAAGTTTTTTTTATTTAAATAAAGACAATGAAGAGACCTGTCTAATGGGCAGAGGAAGATCATTCCACAGTTTAGGAGCTGCCACAGCAAAGGCACGGTCCCCTCTAAGCTTACGCTTTGTTAAAAGCAAATTTGTGACATTATTTATGTGAAATGTAGCCAAACAAAATACTAAAACATTCTGAAGTTCATGTACATTTTTAATTACAGCTTTTCACTCAAAATTGTTATGCTGGTTACTGGTATAATTTAGAATGAACATGCTTATGTTAAATAATAACATAATGCAAAATGGATGCATTTTCACTAGCAATCCCAGACTTTTGAACCCAGTTAGTGTGTGAAACCCCCCCAGCTGGTGTGTCCGTTTTATATTTTTACCCTCCCAGCTGTCCCACACGCTAACACGCAAATTCTGTCCACTGCGGTATTTGAGTCATTACGGGATTTTACCAGAGAGAGGACCCATACATTCCTTTGCTCTCCTCCAGACAGAGGAGCTTTTTGAGGCATAAGGCTGTCGCCGCCCCTCTCAGGTCAGGAGTGTGTGAGGGCCATCCTACTTTTCAGTGGTCATGACCTCTGACATCAACCAAAAAAGATTCCTCTTTAGTGCATTGGGGCCCAGATGGAAGAAATAGAGTGTCTGTGTTTGTGCATGTGCGTCGTTCCTCGTGGATATCTTTTTTTTTTTGATGATTATTAAGGTGGTCCATGAAGAAAAGTATTGAGTTATATGATGTTTAAAGCTTGTTTTATGAAATAGTTTTGTTATTGTAGTTCATCCTCTAAGGATAAGACACAGATATAGAATTTGTGAGAAAGTGAAGACTCTGTGGTGATGCTGGTACGGATCCAAACCCCAGAGCTATGAACTCTGCAACCTTCAGCATCTGTTAAAATACTGCATCTGTTATGTCCCTTTATCTTATATCTCTTGTTCATTGTCTGTTATATATTCCCACTGTCTATTTCTGTATTTGTAGTAATTTTCTTTCTTGACCATAAATTTATGTCCATTTCTCATTCTCTTTCTCTCTTGCCCTATAGGTGAATGTGTATGTTTTGGGAAAAACCTTCCTTGTTTTAGCCAGAGAGCTGTGTATCAGTGCGCCAGCGATTGGTAAGCATCACATAAGTGACATTGTAGTTTACCATGAAGCTTTGCTGCTCATCTAAATTGTACTGGTACTGTGTATGAGTATGTGAGCTGGTCTGTGTAGTGCTACTGTTAAAGCCCAGAGGGTGCTATGCAACTGAAAATGAAGCTTTGCGTGCAATGTAAATTTTAACCTGAACTGAACTCTTTGATGGTTTTGGTCAGTTGCTTTGCTCAATCAACAATACAAAGCAAAATTCTGACATTGGTCATTCTGTATTTGCCTTCATGTAATTTCAAACTTGTATGGCTTTCTTTTGCCTCTGGAACAAAAAAAAAATCTTGGTGTTTTAGTTTTTGTTTTGTACATACAGTGAAAGTCAGTGGGTTCCAATGTTGTTTTGGACCCTTTGTTTTATTTTATTTTATTTTTTGGATCCTATATTATGGGCAAAAACAGCTGAAACATTCTTCAATATATTGTCTTTTGTGTTTTAAGAAATCAGTTAGTCACTGAAGTTTGGAACGATAAAAGGATGAGTAAATGATGACTTTTAATTTTTAAGGTTTTGAAAGGTCATATTTTACCTAGAGTGAAACAGTATAGGTCATATAACTGTGCATTACACAAAAGAAAACAAAATACTGTTTGATGAGTAGAAACAAATATTTTATGATTTTGCAGGCTCTTGAAACCCTTTTTAGGTCACTCAGCATAAAGCTGTCAACAAATAAACATTAAATAACAAGACAGAGGAAAAGCTGCCTAGTTTCAAGTGCAAACTACCCATGTTTCACTGTACACAGGCAGATTATGAATAATTAGAAATCAGATGTGCTTAAATTAAAGTATGTGTTTTAAAACAAGATGTTTAAAGAAATAAATAAGTTTGGGCAGCATTCTATTATATGTACAATGTAAAAAAATCTAATCAGAGGGGATAGTCTCATCTTCTAGTAGTGTCTTGCAGCTATATTGTGAGTAAAGGCATTTATTTGAGAGGAAAAATCCCCCTGCTGTCTCTTCATTAACAGATAATTCCGCGTAATCATGCATAAAATATCAGCTCCGGAATCTGTCCCCCCTGCACCCCTGTCCCGTTAGTACTGTCAGAGGAACACTGAAACTGAAAGGTGACTTTCCCACACTGGACTTCTGTCATTCCTTCCTGTCCAAAATAACTTAGCTCGCTCCCATCTAGAACGGCGCTAACCGTGTAGAACGCGTCCTGCTCCACTTGTACTGGGTGCTCAAACCACACTGGGAATGTTGAGCTAGAACCGTCTGACACAAATTTGGTCAAGTTTTGTGCCAGAAGCACTCCTTGTCTCTTTAGTTCAATTCTGACGCTATATTCCGCCTTCCCTCCACTGGAGCCATATAGACCAAGTCCGGCGATAAACACGCGCTTGTCCCCAGCGAACTGGATGCTGTCGCAGCGTCCGCGGTAGCGCCACTGGTTGCTTCGGTATGCAGAGGATTGAAACCGATGACAGCGTTGCGGCGTCAGTCCCTTTCTGGGTTCAACCGGGAATCCCAGCACAGGTTTCGTAGCGGCCGTGTACCAGAGAAAGATGTTGTGCGTTTCCTCAAGAGTTAAAATGTTCGACTGCGCGGCTCCATCTGCAAATTCCTGCAGCGTCATGGAAGGCAGACGCACAAGGTGCAACGCCTTCCCCAGCACGGAGCGCTGGTTCTGTGACAAGGGGGTCATGCCTTGTCTCCGACACTCTGCATCGGCCCATCCTAGAATGGCCTGGAACACCACCGCCTCCTTTACATTCAGGGTTTCCCTCTGCAAGATGTGTTCCAGTGTGGGCAGGTCAATCTCAGTGAAACCTTCCGAGCGCAGCGCAAGCTCTGCCTGGGCATCGATCACTTCCCGACACCTCTGAGTGAGCTCCGGCTCCTCAAACAACCGACTTTGAGATAGCAGCACACATGCATTTCGCGCCTCCAGGCTTGTCTCGAGAAAACTCACACATGCGCGAGCCAGAGCAGACACCAGATATTTCTTGGCAGCGTAAAGCGTAGCCAGTACTGTGTCAGCCGCCAGGTCTATCTCATCACTGTACATGTATCTGATAAAGAAGAGGGAGATAGAGAGGTTAGGGTAAATTTTAAGTGCCCCATAGGAAGAGAATAAAACTATTTTATACTTCACAAAAGCTGATCTGTTTAACATGCCCTTTTTTTATTGCATCACTACTGCTTTAAACAGTGACTTCCAACTTTCCCAGGGAAAAAGTACATGATTAGCATTCACAATCCAATAAACAGTCTCTAATAGTTCTGAAATAAGAGGGTAACTCCTAAACCAAGACATCTCTGTGCTGCCAGGCATGAAAGCCGAGTCGCCCTGTTATTAATGCCCGGATGTGATTAGTGAGTGAGTCTTACTTGAGCAGGATGAGAAAAGCAGCAGGTTCCACATCTGGAATATGTATATCAGAGTCCCCTTCCGCGAGATCCCCATAAAACATGGCACAGAAAACAGAGCTCCCCACTGCCAGCACATACTGAGAGAAGCAGAAGAGACAATTCCTCAGTGTTTCATCTAGTTTCAAAGCATTTCCTGGAAAGTCTTCCTTTTCTGACACCAATTTCAGATTATTGCATCACTACTGCTTTAAACAGTGACTTCCAACTTTCCCAGGGAAAAAGTACATGATTCGCATTCACAATCCAATAAACAGTCTCTAATAGTTCTGAAATAAGAGGGTAACTCCTAAACCAAGACATCTCTGTGCTGCCAGGCATGAAAGCCGAGTCGCCCTGTTATTAATGCCCGGATGTGATTAGTGAGTGAGTCTTACTTGAGCAGGATGAGAAAAGCAGCAGGTTCCACATCTGGAATATGTATATCAGAGTCCCCTTCCGCGAGATCCCCATAAAACATGGCACAGAAAACAGAGCTCCCCACTGCCAGCACATACTGAGAGAAGCAGAAGAGACAATTCCTCAGTGTTTCATCTAGTTTCAAAGCATTTCCTGGAAAGTCTTCCTTTTCTGACACCAATTTCAGATCCACTGATAAGCTGATGGTTTGAATCAGGTGTGTTCAGTTTGGAAGACAACCAAAATATGAGGTGTGTGGGCTCACCTTGTGTGCTGGGACCCTTTCTGATTCCCTGGGCGGACCAACAATGAAATGAACATCTGCCATGTGTTCATTATTGAACATTAGTGCATTTCTGCATAAAGTAAAAATAAATACACATATTCAGTCTTGATATTAATATTAATAAATACATTTAAATATTCAATTTTAAAGAAAATATATGTTATAAATGTTTAGATATTAGTATCCGTTAATGTTCATTATGACTTGCCTTAATTATACTGTAGTGAAAAATATAATATCTGAACAAGTTATATATATATATATATAGGGGTTAAATTGGAATTTGTTATGTGGGGGGGCTCTGTGGTTTCCGGATTTTGAGTGGTGCACATGTCTATGCAAAGCCTACAAAATCAATTAACAAACAATTATATTATAACAATGAACAATTATATCAATTGACAGTAAAATATAACAAGTTGAGAGAGCCTTCTGTTATGCAGACTAAAATGCTGATCAAAATCATTCTAGATGCTGGCAGTGTGCAAACCTGCATCTGTCTGCAGGATTTTTCAAATCAAATTTAAGACTTTTTAAGACCTGCAAATATTTATTTAAAAATAAAAATGAATACCATATGAGCAGAGTAGGGCAATGTCTATGGTAACATTAAACTGTAAAATGACTGTAAAAACATGATTTAATTACAGTTGAGATACAGGTTTTCACAAAAACAAAAAATATATATATCTAAAATGATAAACCTGACATTTCAGTCTTTAAACCATTTTTTAAGAAAAGAGACGGGTCAGAAGTATAAATTATATCAATTTAAAACAGTGATACGGATGGGGGAAACAGCAGAGAGGCTTATTGAAAATTCAAATTGATTCTCTGCCAGTAGGAGGCGCTTTTGGAACGTCAAACATATAAGCGTTTCCCCAGAAACAGCTGTAAACAAAGCAGCGCTGCACTCATGAAGGCTACTTTATCAGATAAAGTTGAAATGCAATTGAAACTTTTCTAAAGAGACTCTTGATTTAATGCCTTGCCTTTCGTGTAACGTCGGGTGCGCGGAGTGCCAGCTGGGAATTTCCACGTTGTTGTTGTTGATGTTTTGCTCTGCGGTCGGTGTGGCGGCGATAGACGCGGTGGTCTGCGCTACCGGCTCCACGCTTCTCTTCTTCTCTGACAGACTCAGCGTCACAGTCCCGTTCTTCTGTACTGTCGCGTGATCGTTGACGGGGTACAGTTCCTCTGCCATCCTTTTCTTAAGGGAAAGAGTTAAGATGTTATAGCACAGAGAGAGCCTGCCGGGGTGCTTGCTTGCCCGCTTCAACTTCTTTAACGATTCGGGGAGGAAAAGTAAAAAAGTAACACATTTCATGATCCGGCCATGATGGGACAGCTTGCATTCCGGCGCAGCGGGCATCAGAACAAAAAAAAAGTTTTCCAAAATATGTGTAGAAAAATTACTATCAACTACAACCGTGGTATTCCTAAATAATGTTGCGTGGTTTGCGTGGAAACAAAAACCGCTCCACTGTCATTAAACGGTCACATAAATATTCGGATTTCAGCGAATATTTAATAGATAAGCCATCCTCTTTTTCCTCACAACCTCTCCAATCCCATACCGAAAAAATCCAATCCAAGCGTAAAATCACTCAAAAACCACACAACAAATATTGACAAAAATAGGGTCTGTAGTCTTATAAGGGCCACGCAGATCTCTCCACTGCGGTGGCCACACGGAATGATGAAGTTTGGGTTTATTTTGAGCTCTCTCTCTCTCTCTCTCTCTCTCTCTCTCTCTCTCTCTCTCTCTCTCTTTCTCTCGTCTGACGTCAGGATTGGAGGGTTGTCTCTATCCGTCCTGTATATTCTGTGATGTGTCTCTCTCTGTGGCTTGCTCGCTCGCTCTCTCGCTCTCTCTCTCTCTCTCTCTCTCTCTCTCTCTCTCTCTCGTCTGACGTCAGGATTGGAGGGTTGTCTCTATCCGTCCTGTATATTCTGTGTTGCAATGTCTGGTATTTAAAAGCAACACTTTGATTGTATTTGCTTATTGTTATGTGGTGTTTTGGGGGATTAGTCACAGTATGTATATTTCATTACATGCATATACATACACAATATAAACTATTTTTTCTAGGATACATCTATCGAAAATATCCATTACCCCAAACCAGATCGCTTGTTTTTCATGCGGGATCTGGCTACCCTGAAAAAATAGAACCTTTATGAATCTCTCTGTGGACTATGCAGTGATGAAGATTTTTAACTTTTCATATAGACACGTGCATGTTTATAATATAAATAATTTCAACGTCTCCTGTCACGATCCGAATAAAAGCACTTTCTAGGGTGATTTTTGCACATCAAATACGAAGTTCCTCCGTACACGTCGTTTGTTTCGTTCCTCAATGTTTCTCCTTTGCACTTAGTTCAAACACTATATGCATAACCATTATGTCATGCTATATTAAGCAAAGGTTTTATTAAAAACTAGTATGCGTTTGCGTATACGGCCATCAGCATCGATCAATTTCAACCCGCGCGCTGCAGATTGTTACAAACCTTGCGTTCTGTAAATGTAACGTTTACGTCAGACTTTAACTGTTCTACTAGTGCAACCAATAAGAGAAAAGATCGTGCGTGTTCTTACCTTAAATTCTGTATTTTATGCGTTAGTTTGTTGCCATCACACAGCTGAAGCAGTGCGCTCGATTCAAAGCGATGTCAAAAGTTGTATTGATCCGGTTCACGTTCGGTCGATCTCTTTAAAGCAACGAGGGGATTTTTTTGCGTATACAGCCATCAGCATCGATCAATTTCAACCCGCGCGCTGCAGATTGTTACAAACCTTGCGTTCTGTAAATGTAACGTTTACGTCAGACTTTAACTGTTCTACTAGTGCAACCAATAAGAGAAAAGATCGTGCGTGTTCTTACCTTAAATTCTGTATTTTATGCGTTAGTTTGTTGCCATCACACAGCTGAAGCAGTGCGCTCGATTCAAAGCGATGTCAAAAGTTGTATTGATCCGGTTCACGTTCGGTCGTGATGGAGTCTGAAACCGGACGAGGGCTGGACTTGTGGAAATACTGTAGTGCGCACGACTGCTCTCCGTGTTCCCAGTAAAGTCCGTGATGCTTCTGTTTCTCTCTCCCGGTCTATTCTTTTCCTCACAGACAGCACAGACGGATCTGAGCGGCTTATAGTGAACATATGTAGTGGGGATTAGATCAGTGTTTCCCAATTTTTCTTGCTTTATGTACCCCCGCAGTCTCATCAGTAAAGCTCAAGCTCCCCTTCATCAACATTAAATACATTAAAGTGTATTCATTATATTGTGCTGAATATACTGCATGCATATTTAACATGATTAAAATGCAATTATTCACTTATCTGCTGTATTTTCTTTGCTTAGTTCGTATTTTACTGTATGGAACATTTGATTATTTTGTAACTCAGTTGCTTACATGGCGTTTAAAAACTATACTACTTATACAATTATTCAGTGTCAAACTAAAACATTTTATGTTGTTGGGAAAAAATATATTAACGTTATTGAAATGAAAATGCAACTGTGTTTGAGAAGGTCTAAATATTCTGTGTAGCTTTGTAATTGTAAGAGATTTGTTTCTTTCAGATCCGTGTCTTTATATCCCGCGCTTTGCGCAAATGCTGGAATTTGGAGAGAAGAGCCATGAGGTTTCGATGACGGCACTGCGTCTCCTGCAGAGGATGAAGAGAGACTGGATGCACACGGGGCGAAGACCTTCAGGCCTCTGCGGAGCAGGTAACCATGGCAACCCTCCCCTAACAGTGCGATCTCTTTAATGATGTGAGCTAGTGAAGGGTTGCTTTGTATGTGCAAAACCACATACACCATCTCTGAAACCTCCACAGTTGGAATGTACGCTCCCGAAACCCTTTCCAGAAATGAAAGTTTTGTGTCAGGAAACTTTTTAAGATACAGTTTGTCATAATGTGTAATTAGATCAGCTCATGCATTTGAAGCGGTTCCCAAATCACCAATCAGTCTTAATGAAAGAGAATGATTCCTGAAAGTGTTAGTTTTCTCACACTCACTAAGGCCTTTCTTGGCACTGTGAATTGCCTCAGAGATCCAGTGCAGCTAATTTCTATTGCATTTTTATCAATATCAGTTTTACTTTCTCACACTTTCAGTCTTGTGTAAACTTGACACAGTCTAATAATACCGAGTTCCAGTAATTAAGTTTTTAAAATAACTGACTCCTCCTGACTCTCAACTTGAGTTTCTCTGCCCCCCCCCTCCACTGCATAACCTGAATAATTAATCTCCCATTAATCTTTTAGAAGCAGTGCTGAGAAAAGAGGAAGCATGAGCCTAAAAGAGTTTGTTTTGCAGCGAGAGATCAGAGACTTGAGAAAGAAAGGCAGGCCAACAGAGAGAATGAAAGAATGTGAGAAAGGCCCAGAATGAAGACAACTGTGAGGCAGGGACAGCCGCTGAGTGTGATGAAGGCCTCAAGCTTGTTGAATAGTCCTCATGTAGTAGCTGGAACACAGATTGGTTTGATATCCTGCAGGGTTAACAGCAGAGGAGGAAACGGCAATTTTTTTATTACCCCACATGAACTTGAGCACAGGATAGCACTCGGTTAGATGTAGCTGATACCCCTGGACATATAGGGGAGAGTGGGGTAAAATGTGTCACCCCTTTAATCCGTCACAGGATTATGCATTTAGAGTATTTCATGTATATACATGTTTTTATTTAGGAGGATCATGTAAGGGCCCTCATATACTGCTGTCTGTGATTGCGAGATGCATATGAGAAAAGTAATAAGCATTTTTTACACTTTTCTTTTTTTTGTTAACATGACAAAGTACTTTTTTTTTTGTTTACATGGAAAGGGTCTATATAGATCTAAAAAAATATTCACTATTGTTCAAAAGTTTGGGGTCAAGATTTTTTTTTAACTTTTTTATTTTTTTTTAAATAAGTCTTTACCAAAGCTGCATTTATTTGATCCAAAATACAGTTAAAAGAGTGATATCCTGAAATATTATTATAATTTTAAATAACTGTTGTCTGTTTTAATATATTGTTAGTAATTTTTACTAAATGTAATTTATTCCTGTGATGGAAAAGCTGAATTTTCAGCAAGCCATTACTTCACTCTTCAGTATCACGGGATCCTTGAGTTTAGGAATTAGAAAATTATTTTTTCTCGTTTCTGTCCATATTTGTATTTGAAATATTGTTTCCCTTTACCACTTTTTTGGAGAGGTTAAGCTTGCATTATTGTTTTTAATCTAATTTCTACGTCCTTACAGGACAACCTAAATCAGAAGTGGTACACCTTACCCTTTTATCTATTAAAATTATGTCAGATTAAGCTGTTGTGGGCAGGCAAATTCAGTAAAAAGTCAGTAAAATAGTTTTGTAGAATGACAATGAACCACAATGTCATATTTCTAAATAGTTCTTCTTTGAGGAATCATTAAGCTCTAAAACTATTCAGTATCTTTTACATGCTTGCATGCTTTGTGGTGTTGGACATTCGTTTGTCAGGTAGTTCAGAAGTGCATCTGGCTCTTCATGTTTCTTTAATGAATCAGAGTGAAACAGGCATCAGGGGTTCTGCAATATTGCAGGTGCATTTAATGTCTGTTTGTTCTGCCTGAGATGAGTCAGTAGGGGGGCAGGTACAGTGGACGCACTTTTCTGAAGCCCTATTAAAGTTTCATATTTGACTGTGTCCTCTCTCCTTTCTTTCTTTCTTTCTCTCTCTCTTTCTCTTGCCATTGGCTGAATGTGTATATGTCGTGCCTACAGTTGTGTATTTGTGTTCCCTGTAGCACTCTTGGTTGCTGCCCGGATGCACGAGTTCCGTCGCACAATTAAGGAAGTGATCAGTGTGGTGAAAGTCTGTGAAGCCACACTGAGAAAAAGGTGTGTTTTGTTTTAAAATAATAATCACAGTATGGCCAGTATTATAATCTGTAGCAATATAATTAATATTATATAATTTAGTAATGAGTTTAAGAAGAGGAGTGGAACTGGAGTGACTCCTTTTCTAAACACTCACATGAATCCACTTTCATTTCATATTCATTGTTCAGCCACACATTTGTGCTATTACAACATGAGTAGAGGAAGAATGGCACTATAGTGACTCCTTTTGTAATCACTTACATGAATCCACTTTCATTCCACATTCATTGTATGCATTCACACGTATGCTGTTCTGTGTCAGCTGCATCACGCCGGATCTGTTTCCTACATTGTTAGTTGATCTGAACGAAAACAGCGTATCCGTGTGAGGCAGCTGACACAGAACAGCATACGCTGTTTACGTCCACCAGATACTCTCC